CAGCATGGGGGGGTGGGGGGACAGAGAGAGTGGGAAAGAGAATCCCAGTCAGGCTGTCAGTGCAGAGCCTGACATGGGGCTTGAACCCACAACCCATGAGATCATGACCTGAGCCAAGATCAGAGTCAGACAGTTAACCAACTGAACCACCCAGGTGCTCCAACATTTTCTTTTAATGAATGAGTTTGTACTTTGTTCTCTCTAATCTGTGTGTGTGGAGGGGGGGTGGGGGCTGTGTTCAGGCAACTATGCCTCTTGCACAAGTAACAAAAAGCAAAACAAAAAGAGTGGGGGGAGAAAGATATGATGAGATTAGGAGATTAGATTTATAAGAACAGGAATAGTATTAACGACAGTTCATTTGCTTTTGTCCCGTCCTGGATTCTGCAAGACAGTTTGCTTAGTTAGGTTAAGTCTGGAAATGCATTTATTACAGTAGGACTCCTGGAGCAGTCACAGGTCTCACCCTCAGCAATAGCTTGAGGAAGCAGATACCTGGGGCCAAATTTCCCAGTGAGTCATTGCCCAACCCTTAAACTTTAAAGAACCTTTGTTCAAGAGATTTTTATCAACAAGCTATAGCTCCCCATAGGACATTTAGCCATCTTACCTCAAGCTACCTGGTGTGATAAAAGAACTTTGAGCTGGGAATTAGAACTCTGGCTTTCATACTTAACTAGTTGTGGAGCTGGGGAAAATTATTGGACCTTCATGTGGCTCAATTCCCTTATTGAATAAAAGGGGATTTGGTTACTTGATTTCTAAGCTTCCCTTTTGATGTTAAAATCTGCCCTATGCATCTAAAACTGAAGACTTCTTCCTTCTTAGCAAACAGTTTCCCTTTCTATGTGTCCCATTATTATTTGTGATACCACCGTCCTTCCAATGTCTGAGGCTAGAAAATCTTAGAGTTATTTCTGTTATATCCATTTCCTTTAACTCTCGAACACAGTTGACAACCAATCCAGCCATTCTTCCCTCACAGTTGAAGTGGTGTTGGTAGCATGTATACTAAGATTGGAACGATCCAGAGAAGATTAGCATGGCCCTTGCTCAAGGGTGACACACAGTTAAAGTGGTAGTAGAATGCGTTTGACCTAAGAGGCTGGGTTTTAGAGTCTGAACACGCCTTCTGCTTGGGCCATATATTAGCTACATGACCTTTGGCACATTACTCAACCTCAATGAACCAGGTTTTGTTTTTGTTTTTGTTTTTGCTTTTGTTTTTAATGGAAATAACACTAGTCTATCTCCAGGGTTGTTGTAAGGCTTAAATGAGTTAGTAAGTGTCCAATAAGTGATAGTGCCTTTTATTATTTGCACGTAGCAGTGCAGTGGATTAGATCTTAGAGTCAAATGGGCCTTTGGAAAAAAAAAAATAGTCAGAGGTATGGTAGCCAGGGGTGCACGGGTGGTTCAGTCGGTTAGGTGTCCGACTCTTGGTTTTGGCTCAGGTCATGATCTCACGGTTTATGAGTTCGAGCCCCACGTCAGGCTCTACGCTATCAGAGTAGAGCCCGCTTGGGATTCTCTCTCTCCGCCCCTCCTTCATGCACATTCTCTCTCTCTCTCTCTCAAAATTAATAAACTTAAAAAAAGACATTGCAGCCCAAACTGAATACCTCCTTCTAGATGGGTCTTTCCAGGCATTGGTACATGCCCTCTCACTCTTAATAAGATTTCTAGGATTAGGAAGTTGTCCTAAAGTCTGAGAATGGGATTCCCATCTGAGAGAGAGTTGGTAAGGAGGGAGAGATATCACACCTTTAATTCAAGCCCATGAAAGTCAAGATGTTCACAGTGGAGAGTATTTCAAGAAGGCCCTAGTTAATTCTAAGTTTCACTGAAAGACCAGATGATTTATCTCTGATGCTGGCCATTCTGGGAAGATAATTGCCACTACACTCTTGCTGAAAGATAATTTGTATGGGTTTGCAGCTAAGTGATTCAAAACTTTTGCTACCCAATTTTCTACCATGGCCAAAAGTGATGGTTTTAATAATTATTCATTACTTGTAGTGGAAAGAAAATTGACTTTGGAAATCAGAGAAAATATGGATTTGAATCCCAGCTCTGCTACTTATGACTAAAAGATGATTGTACAGTTATTTAATATCTCTGAATTTCGGTTTTTCAACATAAATATGAGATAGTAAAACCAATCTTGTAGAGCGGTTATGAGAATTAAGTGAAATATGTACTTCATGTAAGTAGATGTTTTAAAATGTTCATTTCTGGGGCACCTGGGTGGTTCAGTCGGTTGAGTGTCCAACTCTGGATCTCAGCTCAGGTCATGATCTCATGGTTCATGAGATTGAACCCCTCATTGGGGTTCTTGGGATTCTTGCTCTCCCTCACCCTCTGCCCCTCCCCTGCTCATGCACTTGCTCTCTCTCTCTCTCAAAAATAAATAAAAATACACATGTAAAAAATAAATAAAAGAAACGTTCATTTCTTTCCAGGAGTGTGACTTTTAACCTCAGCCTGGAATTTTTAGCTTCCTAAAATCACTAGGATTTTTCTTGCAGGCATGTATATTTCAACATATGTAAAACAAAACTCATAATTCTCCCACTTCTTCCTATGTTTACTGTCTCTCTTAATGGCATCAACAATCTTCTAATCATTCAAGTTTGATGATTCCAATTTTGATTCCTTCTCTAACTGTAAATCCATTTTATTCTAAGAACTGTAAATTCTCTTCCCACCTTTCCATTCCCACCTATGCTAATGTAAACCTTGATTACCTCTCACTTAGACAGTTTTAGGATCTTTTTGACAAGTAAATTAGACTCCAGTCTTTGCCCCCCCCCACTTATCACATTATACACTGCTGCAGAATCAGCTTTTAAAACATGGTTCCCATTATGTTACTTGCTTTTTCAGAAACTTCCCAGGTTCCACCATAGAGACTGTGGGCGATTCACTATAGAACTCTTATCTTACAGATATAGATGTTGGGCTCAGGGAAATCATTCTTTTGGGAGTGGCACATTAAGACTAGACCTTATCTCTGCTCACTCACAGGCTAGTTCTTTCCAGTATTGGAATATGGCTCAAACTCCTTAACATGGTTTGCAAGGATTTTCCCATTCTGGGCCCATTCTTTCCCTACCTTATCTTCCACTACTTTTGTACCTACAGTCAAATCCATTAAAGTATTCTATGCTATTTCAGCTCCCTAACAGTATAATGCTGTTCTCCCTACCTGAGATGCACTTTCCTCCTCCTGGCCTCAGTTGATGAAGTTCTGCCCCTCTGTAAGTCCCAAGTCAATCTGATGTCTCTTCCCTTCCCTCCCATCAAGCCAGAAAATCAAATTCCCTACTCCTAGACCACACATTGCCTCTAACCATATTCTGCTTCGTGCTATAATTATTGTGTACGTGTCAGCAAGCCCCAGCCAGGGCAGGCCTTCTCCCTATACCTTATAGAAAGTAGCTAGTTACTCGGTAACCTGATACCAGCGTCTATCAAAAAGCGTGTACTCATTCTCGCCTTTATCTGTTTCATAGGGTGCTGCTAATCACATTACTAAGAAATGATAGTATGCTTCTGTAAAGAGAAGTGTGGAGATGGTGTGAGCCACCTCATTCCTTGAGCAAAAAGTGTGCTTATCACAGCCTTATACCAAGATAGATATTCTGAGTTTTGCTGGATTTCTGGCCAATGTTAATCAAAACCATGGAATTAGACTTGGGAATTAAATAACCCCCCCCTTTTTTAACCATACTCAGTCCCTCAAATAATGAATGATTTTTCCTTTTTAGAAACAAATTTGAGAACATATCTTCTGTATTTTTTTCTTTGATCCAGAATTGATTGCTATAGAAGCACTGACGACTTTTATACCCACACCTACATTGAAAGCATAATTGTACTCAACAGTGTCTTAAAGTGTGATTCAGTATTTCCTAACCTTGGCTCAAAGGGTCATTACTGTGATGTTGCATAACTGAGTTTAGCAGAATTGTTTTTGCTTCTGTATCTTTTTCTTATTAGAGTAAGGGCTGACAATGTTCAACGGGTCTGTCAGATTCAGACTGGGAAGCAGATAAACAAGTAAATACATATTATTTGATACACTGACGTTTACTTCAAAGAACATGTGTCGAATTAAGATTATTTTATCCAGGAAGAGAGAGATTCTTGAAAAACCACTATGTATTACTTACTCTGTGTCAGGGTCTTTTCTTTATCTTATTTGTTCCTCATAAGGATATTATGAAGGAAGTACTATCGCTATGGATGAGAAATCTAAGTTTTAGGGATGGGGCCAAAACTCCCACTTAAATGCATCTGTGTCTAATACCAGAGCTCCTTATCATGAGGGGGTTCTATGTTACCTTCCAACATGGGGATTAAAACAAACAAGTAAAAACCACAAAACTCTCATTGTTTTCACACAAGACTTTAGTAGGAAGAACGAGTACTGCGTGTGGAAAAGTAGTGTGCTCTTTAAGGTTGCTTATCACTTGCTTTGCATAACAGAACTTTCAGTGTAAAATGGCAGCCCAGGTTGCTTGGTTAAGCCCACTGGGTTCTGTTGTTGTCAAGGTTGCTAGAAATAGTACATGATGAACTCTGCATTCTGTCAGATCAGTTATGCTCTGCAGTTGTCAAGAGACCTGCAAGTAGTACTTTATCTATAGTTTTCACTCTTCAAATAAGGAAACTATGGACTCATTTCTAATCTTACCTTTTCTGGACAAAGGTTGGAACTCCTTTGCTAACTACTAGGGCAAAAACACCTTTGGCAATTTCTGGGGCAAAACCGAAACAATCCAGATTAATGGGCAGGGACTAGGTGATTTCAGAGGCATAGCTTTATGTATTCTTTGACTTGAAGCAATGTTAGAAAAGAATTACAGAATAGAGGTTTTTGTCGCCTGAATTTAAAGTACATTATATTTCTCCATGTTGTCAAGATTGTTAAAATGTAAAAATAATAAGTATATAACAATAGTCAATTCTGGTATGTATACTTAAATTGCTCTTAATACATTATAACCTACTTAATATTTTAAATATATCCTCTCCTTAAATCCATATCAAAACACCCACAATGGTAAGTATTATTCTCATTTTTCAGCAGAAGAAAGTAAAACTATATATATTAAATTATATAGGTTGTTCAAGGTGACAAAAGTTATGATTTAGCTGAAGATTATCTCAACTTAAAGCCCTCACTCTTTATCTTATACCATGCTGTGTCCCCAGCTCTCTCTCTAAACCAAGTGGTCAGTGATGCACAGTTTGGGGAGAAAGGGCAGCCAAAAGAAACTTGGACGTAGGTAGAACCTAATTTGGACCTGAATCTACACAGATGCCAAGTGTACTTCCCTTGGGATGTAACTCAGAAGAGTGGAACATTTCACTCCAAATGTGACTTTGGAACAGATTTAAGTTCAGAGGGAGGCCAATTGATGTTTGCACAGTGAGGTCAGTCATAAAATGATGGAACTGGAAGGGACCTTAGAGATCATCTGGTCTAACCTTCTCATTTTACAGGAAACTACAACCCAGATATTGAATCATTTGACCAAGGTTACAGTTTTTGAGAGAGAACTGGTAGAGGCAGTGGTGTGGTCTGCTGGCCTAGGTAGAGCTCTGTGTTCTCTCTTCTGCCACACCACTGCGAGCCCTTGGCTGCTAGAGAATCCTCTTCTGTGTCTAATACTCTGACTTTCTTTATTGCATAGGTATTTCAGTATCTGTAGACAAGATGGAATCAACTCCATTTAATAGACGGCAATGGACTTCAGTATCATTGAGGGTAACGGCCAAAGAACTTTCTCTTGTCAACAAGAACAAGTCATCGGCTATTGTAGAAATATTCTCCAAGTAAGTGCTGATCTTTGTCCAAGAGGACCATCTGTCTTGAGCAAACATTACCACCTGTCAAGGAAATCAGTAAAGGAAGTACATGGTGTAAAATGGCTTTATTGAGGGGCACTTGGGTGGCTCAGTCCATTAAGTGTCCAGCTCTTGGTTTCGGTCAAGTCACGATCTCATGGTTCATGACTTTGAGCCCCACGTCGGGCTCCGCTGCTGGCAGTGTGCAGCCTGCTTGGGATTCTCTCTCTCTCTCTCTCTCTCTCTCTCTCTCTCTCTCTCTGCCCCTCCCCTGCTCGTTCTCTGTCTCTCTCAGAATAAGTAAACTTTAGAAAAAAAAAAGTCTAAAAAAATGGCTTTATTGAGCACCTTCTGAATTTTAAGCACCATACAAGACACTGTGGAGGAGGAGGATAATAATCAGGAAACACATTCTCTATCCTTGAATTTTTGTTTAGTTAGGGAGAGAAAAAGTTACACACAAAAGATAATTATAAAACACATAATTATTAAGCAAAATGTCAGCAAGTCCAAAATGAATGGAACTAAGGACTAGAAACAATAGGAGAGAAAGAGTGACCATCATGGGCAGAAGCTAATCAGGAAGGCTTTTTGGTTGAGATGCATTGTGAGGCAAGCATTGATTTCGTTGAAGGGAGCATTAGTACACTCTATACCCGCATTGTCCAGTATAGTAGCCACTACATATGTGCCTATTTAAATGTAAATTAATTGGGGCGCCTGGGTGGCTCAGTCGGTTAAGCGGCCGACTTTGGCTCAGGTCATGATCTCGTGGTCTGTGAGTTCGAGCCCCACGTCGGGCTCTGTTACTACAGCTCAGAGCCTGGAGCCTGTTTCAGATTCTGTGTCTCCCTCTCTCTGACCCTCCCCTGTTCATGCTCTGTCTCTCCCTGTCTCAAAAATAAAACGTTAAAAAAAAATTAAAAAAAAAAAAGTAAATTAATTAAAATTAAATAATACTTAAAATTCAGTTCATCAGCTGCACTAGCCACATTTCAAGCATCCAAGAGTTATATGTAGCAAGTGGCTACCATTTTGGAAATCACAGAAACATTTCATCAATGCACAAAGTTTTGTTGAACAGTGAAAGCTGTGTAGGCAACCTCCGGCCCACTAGCTGCCTGTTTTAGTAAATAAAGATTTATGGGAACATGGCCATTTCCATTTGTGCATTGTCTATGGCTGCTTTCGTGCTATAGCTACAGAGTTGCAGCAGAGACCAGATGGCCTCAAAGTCTAAAATATTTACTACCTGGTCCCTTAAGAAAAAGTTTGCTGACCCCCTACTCTGGACCATGAGTTCTTTGATATGAGGGCCCCTTTCCCACTTATTTTATATGCCTAGTGTATAGCATGGTGACTGGAATGTGGTAGGCACTCAACAGATGTTGAAAGAATGGTATATGTAATATACCAGGGACGCACAAACACATTGACTTCACTCAAAGGGAGATGCCATACTGGGGAGGAGCTTAGGACAGCTGATAGGTTTACCTTACTAGTAGAGTTTGTTAATTAATAGGAAGCTTGATACATTTAAGAGATAAAACATGGTCAAGGTTTGAAGAAAGAAATTCTGGGAGCTGTATCTAGGATATAGCTAAATAACAATAAGACATTTTTAAATCTACCGTGTCACCTTTTCTTCAGGAACAAATCCATCAAGCACTTGCTCTGTGGAAAACACTGCCCTTCCAAATTGTTGACTTTGTTTACCGCTCAAGGTGGAATGAAGGTGGGGGGAGACTGCATAGGCCGTTTATCTTCTACATTATGCATTTTGTATTGTTGTAATTTTACGGCAAACGTATTATTCTTACCAAAAAAAAAAAAAAAAAAAAAAAAAGAAAGAAAAAGAAAATCAATGAAGATATTTTAGACAAAAGGGACAGAGATCCTGAAAGGTAGTAAGACTTATTTTTAATATTTTTTTGAAGCATCTGGGTGGCTCAGTCAGTTAAGCGTCTGACTTCAGCTCAGGTCATGATCTCACGGTCCATGAGTTCAAGCCCTGCATTGGGCTCTGTGCTGACAGCTCAGAGCCTGGAGCCTGCTTCAGGTTCTGTGTGTGTGTGTGTGTGTGTGTGTGTGTGTGTGTGTGTGTGTGTGTCTGCCTCTCTCCTGCTCACACTCTGTCTCTCTAACTCTCAAAAATAAATAAATGTCATTTAAAAAAATTTTTTTAACATTTATTTTTTTGGGGAGTGGGTGGGGAGAGTGCAAGCAGCGGAGGGGCAGAGAGAGGGAGACAGAGGATCTGAAATGGGCTCCATGCTGACAGGCTGACAGCAGCAAGCCTGATGTGGGGCTCAAACCCACGAACTGTGAGATCATGACCTGAGCTGACATCAGATGCTCAACTGACTGAGCCACCCAGCTGCCCCTGGGAAGGTAGTAAGACTTAATCCCTGACCTCAAGGAAACTGATGGTATAAATTAGTATGGTTTATATGGTAGCTGAAGTCCCTGAACCTCCTTCATCTTAAGAATCACCTGGGGTACTTACTAATAATATGGTGCTCCGGTTATCTATTGCTCATTAGAAAAAAAAAAATCTCCAAAATTTAGTGGCTTGAAATACTAACATTTATTTTGCTTGTGAATCTCCAATTTGATGCTTCTGTTAGCATCAGCCGAGGTGGCTCAAAGATGGGGCCCATAGTCCTCTAAAGACTCACTCACTCGCAAGTCAGGTCATTGCTGCTGGCAGTCATCTGGGATCTCAGCTGGGGCCCTGGTCAGAATACCTACACATGGCTTTTCCATGTGGCTGCGTGGCTTAGTTGGCTGGGTGCCAAGGGCAAGCATCCAGAGACAGAGGGAGGGAACAAAGGAAGAAGGGAGACAGGATCAGGAGTTGTGTGGCCTTTTATGACCTGGCCTCAGAAGTTACACAGAATCATTTTTGCCACATTCTCTTCAAGTTGGCCCACATTCAGAGGGACGAGAACTTGACTCTACTTTTCGTTGGGAGGAATGTCGATTTTTGTTTTTAATGTCTATTTTTGAGCGAGAGGAGGGGGAGAGGGGCAGAGAGAGAGAGGGAGACAGAGGAGCTGAAGCAGGCTCTGTGCTGACAGCAGACGGTCCGATGCAGGGCTTGAACTCATGAACCATGAAATCATGACCTGAACCGAAGTCAAACGCTTAACCAGCTGAGCCACCAGGCGCCCCAGGAATGTCAAAGATATTTTTGGACATGTTTTAAAACTATCCTATATGGCTTCCCTGGCTCCTCCCCTAAAGAGTCTGATTTGATGTGTCTGGGATGGAGCCTAGGAATTTGTGTTTTCAACAAGTATCCCAGGTGAATTTTACTTTCAGGGAGGTTTAGGGAGCACTGGTAGTGAAAGATATTCTATCAGGCTTATGATAGGTTCAAACAAAGGATTGTGGAAACTAACCATGAATAAAGGGAATGGGAAAGCAAGCAGTCTGGCATGGAGAGATACAAAAGGGAGAAGGGACTAGTACGGTTTAGTTTGAGCCGGATGATAGATGGCCTTGAATGCCATACTGAGTTCAGGATTTATTTAGTTAGATAAACAAGGGAAACAATTGAAGGTTTTTGTGTAGAGAGAATGACATGATCAGACTTGTATTTTAGAAAGATGCTTCTGGCAACAGTGTAGAAAGGTAGACTGGAAAGGTGAGAGATTGATAGCATGGAAACAAGTTGTGAGGCTCTCTTGAGAACCCAAGTGAAAGCTATTGAAGGTGGGGGGCAGCAGGAATGGAGAGGAAGGGAAAGAACTGAGACAGTGTTGAGATGTGATTAATGGGAGTTGGAAACTCCCTCTTCTGCAGAGAAACTTCTCCACATTCTTACCCTTTTCACCCTCCCTAGCCCCACCTCTCTTCAGCTGAACTTGGCTTTCCCTCCACTTGCCTTCTGTCTCTGAGCAGTGGCCGCCTGCTGCTTCTGCACATGCTGGGGCTGGGAGTCAGGGTTGCTGCTGTCCTAAATCTCCACTACTGGTTCCCATCGATTGTTTTTCATTCCTTGTTCTGAAGTTCTAAACCTGTGCTTTGAGGCTCACATCTAACTGTACTGTACTCTTTCTCTATTCCCCTTTCTTGCAGTGGTATGCCAGCCACCTGGCCAAGCTCCCCTCCCCCGCTTTGCTGGGGACAGTAGCTTCCAGCTTCATTCTCTCCTCCGTGTTTCTCAGCAACGGTGCTATTGGCATTTTCGATGAGGCAGACCTTCCTTCTGCAGGATGTTCATCCTTCCTCCAAATGCTAGTAGTACCCCCACGACATTGTGACATCCAAAAAAGAAAAAAGAGGTGGAAGGGAAACCTTAGGAAGATTCCCTCACATGTTTCCAGATGTCCCCCAGGGCCCATAGTGCCCCCCAGTGAAGAATCACTGGTCCACATAAATGACCTGTCTCATACTCTGAACTCATAATTTCTTGACCTTCCCTACTTCTTCAACCGACACATTGTCTCCCATGGCCCTGCATCCAATCCCAACCTTATCTCATGCAGAATCCATCTCTGGAATGTGCATTTTTTAATACCTCTCTGATTGGAGCTTCCTGTGCTAACACTCTTCCGCTCTCTTATTCCCACTGACACTGCTCTCAGGCCAAAGCAGGACGCCCAGGCCGTGGATGTCAGTCTCCTTCTTGGCTTCACTTCCTCCCCTGCCTACCTCAGTTGGTCACTTCAGTGAAACTCTCACCCCTTCTTCAGTTCCTTTCCCAGCCCATTGTTCTGTCATGGCCTCGCCCAGCCGGTTCTCAAGATAGAGGAACTGGGTCTTTTAGAACTGATGAGAGTTAGGAGGTTGGGAAAAGCAGTTCATCTTAGGGGCCTTCTTAATCTTACAGAGAGAAAGCAAAAAGTCATCTTAGAGGTTACCTTCTCCTAGCATAGCAGGGTGACTGTCTTTTCTCCATGAAGGTTATAAGGGCAAATGGCAATTATGCAAAACTAAATCCTGAACTCATTAACAGAATCGATGTGCCAGGCTTCATGCTA